GGGGGCAGCTGCCCTCCCAAAAAGATTACAAAGTCGAAAAGTCGGGCAAATGTTCAACAAAAGTCGGGCAAAAGTCGGGGAAAAAGTAGTCAAAGCAATAAAATCTCTCGTAATAATAACCCCAGTTTGTTGCGCAAACCAAGCCAGTGGAGCAATATTCGCTTCACAATCGGGCAATATTGGGTTATTATAAAAATAAATGGGATAAATTCTGCCAATTTTGCGGGAAATTATGTAAATTTTGTAATGTTTGGGAAAATTTGTTTGATGTTCCGAAAATTTTTGACCCCTAAAATGGTACACTGACCGAAATTTTTTTGGCGACGGGGTGGGGGGGGGGGAGGTCGCCAAAATTTATTGTTCGAAAAAGTCGGGCAAATTTCTTTTTGCCCCCCTAATTTTTTCATTCCCGTACGCCTATGAGTATGAATGGTTATATACAATCCATCTGACGCAGTGCCTAGGTCTTCTTGTAATTGTCAACAGATAAAGATTATTCTACCTTGAAATGATTTCATCCATAATGATTTCATCCATTTTTATGAATCAATATTTTAGGTATTCAGGACGTTAGTACTAATTCACTGTTTGTCAGCCACCGTGGCGATGATCTCAATAATTGTGGTAACTGGACTATGCCATGTCGTACTGTGCGACATGCAGTGAAGATGTCTAATAATGGAGATCAAATTTATATTGATTATGCAAAACGACGACCTTATATGGAATGCGAAAATGTGACACAATCATCATGCTCAATCGAATTGACAAAATCTGTTTCATTTTACGGCATCAATGGAAGAGCTGAACTTCAGTGTAACAAACGTTGCAAGTTTTTCATCATAACGAGTCCAAATTTTAATATAATACGCATCAAATTCTTCAACTTGGTTATATCGGGTTCAAGTGTTGTAACCGAGATTGACAAAGGAGCCAGAATGGAATTGGTATATCAAAATATGTTGGTCAAGTATAACTACTATGCTATCCGCAGCAAACATTCGACCGACTGTTCCATTCTGATAACCAACTCAAGTTTTCAAAATAATTTTAACTTTGGAATTTACCTGCGATGTTCTAATCTCACTGCATATATAACCGCTAGTACCTTCCAATTTAGTCCCGTGTCCTTGACTAACATTGCAAATACGCCAACACGCTGGAAAAAAACGGAGATTTTGATTCGAGATACGGTCTTTAATGGTAAAAATATTCACACATGTGCTTCACTGCTCGCGATAAAGCCATTTGCAGCTATATTCAATGTTACAATAACTGACTCAGAGTTCAAAAATCATTTTTCAGTTTGCAGGTCCAAACACTATCATCAGTTTTCTACACTATGCATTTCCGACCATGACTCACGGCCCCGAAACATAACATACATATTTTTGAGAAATCTATTAATCGAAAATAACTACAATAACGATCCTGCACTGTTACTAATTGCAGGTTATCTGGACTACACAGAAGTAGAAGTTATGATACGGGACAGCATTTTCAGGAATAATTCGTTAGCATTTCAGGTTTCCACCAACTATTTTGGTAGACCTTCTCACGACAAGCATCCCACGATAACTCATGAGAATAACACGTTCGTTAGTAATAATATTAATAGTCTGCTAAAACGTAGTGGTGCAGCAGCAATTTACTTCGGTGATGGTAAAAGCCGAGTATTGTCATGTCGTTTTCTTGACAACGGGGCTGGTCAATATTCCTACACAAGCGTGGTGAAAATTTCCGAAATGGCGCGAGTTACTTTTTTGAATTCCTATTTTGAAAACCGGCAAACTAAAGTGCTGTCCAATCAGCTTTTTTCATCAGGAATTAGACCGGTTACCTTTCTTGGCGAAAATACGTTCAATTTAGTCGCCTTAAAGGAGAGACAGGCCGTTTTTGTTCGCATACCAACTGCAATGTATTTAACGAACGGTGGAGTGATTATGAAGAAGAATTTTAAGATCTTATGTCCGCCAGGATACAAATTATACGCGCAACGACAATGTACAGTTCTAAAGAAAGGAATCGTAAAATGTGACTATATAAATGTCCGATGTGAGCAGTGTCCAACAAAAACCTACACACTTGAAAGAGGCAAGTTCATTTACAATAAAAGCAATGACATCCAATGCCAGCAATGTCCTCGAGGAGGGGACTGTGACAGTGGACTGGTCACGGCCAAATCGAACTTTTGGGGTTACAAAACAAAGATGAAAGTCCATTTTGTTCAATGTCCACCAGGATACTGCTGCAACGCCGAGAATTGCGTCACCTATGATAGTTGCCATGGAAACAGATGTGGTACACTTTGTGGTCAATGCCCAGAAGGAATGTCCCAGAGTTTGTTCTCCACACAATGTATATCAAACACAGAATGCGCATTCAATTATTTCTTCATAATTGGCACAATTACAATGCTTGTTCTATATCTTGTCTTCTTTCTTTACCATAAAGAAATTGTAAACATACTTCGAACAAGTTTATTTAGTAAGCGCTTGTCGTTCTCAATGAACAGCAGAAACGAGCAAAGAAACGATGTCAGCACCGGTGGTAATACCACTTCACCCAGTGGGATGATTAAGATATTATTCTACTACTATCAAGTTTGTAATTTGCTAAGAAGCTCCGTGGGTTTTTCTAGAAAAGGGAAATTCATTGATAATTTTGAGAATGTTATTTCAAGGGTAATGAATATGATTCTTGTTAATCTTCCATCTTTTAATTGTCCTTTTGCAAACCTTCGTCCTGTTCCTAAGGCGATCATTTTACATTCGGTAGGACACTCTCTTCTTGCTCTTCTTTGTCTTCTTTATTTGATCCCCGAGCCGGCGGCGCGAAGCGCCGTGCGAGGGTACTAATTCCCCCCGGCTATTTACACCCGGGGAAACGAAAGCATTAGGGAAGTCTGAAGTTCATCAAATATCGCGGGCGTGGGTCACTGTGCGTGTTTCGGTGGGTGGTCATCTTCACTGATCTCAAAAATATGGCGGACTGTCATGAATAGCGAACACTGATTGGTCAAATTTAAAATTTGTTGTTGTACGACGAATGACGACTTCAACTGACAGATACTTCATGAAAATATTTTGCTTTTTGCACTGCAGTATTTTGTACGTTTGCAAAAAACTTTGACAGCTTTCAAAGCAATTTGCTCTATAAAGAGTTTAATAAAACAATTATGGTATCAAATACCAATTGAAAAGATATGGACTACTGTATGGAGCCAAATGAAGAGCGGCAAGGAAACGACAAGAAAGCCGAACGTCTCGCGAAAAGGAGGGAGCCAGCGAAGACGACAACGTTTGCTCGAGGAGACTGCTGAGGAAAGAGAAGCTCGCCTGGGAAAGCGTAGAGAAGCATGGAAAAAAAGACTGCTGAAGCGAAAGGTATTAAAGCAAAGGCTTGTCTTCACAACGCTATGTACCAATGATACTGTAGCTATACAAGTTTAAGTATGATATTCGACCCTCTATATTCGACTATTTCTTCACAATTTTCCAATAAAGAGTTTGTCATGACACGCTCAAGTCAGTATAACCAGACTGTATTTTATTTATATCAGTTATCACAGCCACAGGCAATTTTATGCTGTCAAATACCGTCGGTGGCAACTAAGGGTGAACAGTTGCAGATAAAACATTCTCTATTCTCATTAAAAAGCCTGTAAAAGTTTCCAGTAGGTCTCTAGCCCAACAAGTTCAGACAAAGTTTTGTTACTTATTTTTATTGCACACATGGGAAACAACAATTAAGTGTTGTTGTTCTTGACAAACATTGAAGATTCTAATCACGCGAATGTTTTTATGAGCGACTGTTCATCGTTAGTTGCAAACGACGGTACAACATACTATGAACATTTTTCCGACTGTGACCGAATGTGCAACGATATATTTTTCAAAGTTGTTAACAATTCCTAAAATTTGTTTATAGTAAAACAGCCTGCTCAGCACTCACTACTCACGATGATTTCATTTAGAAATGCAGTTACCAGGAAAGGAACTGATTCTAAAATATGTAAAATTAAAAGCATTGGCTATTACGATGTGAAGACAAGGTACAAACTTTTATAGTTGCTATTTGTTATAAATCCTATAAATAAACCGATTCAACAATAATTTTGCCTCGAATTTGCATATTCTATGCTGCATGTTTATATTTTATTTTTATAGTATAAAAATAAAATTGTAATACTATGAAATAAAATACATTTCTGTTTATTGACCAGTACTTATTTAATGTCTTCTTCATCCAGCGGTCAGAGTAAATTTCTACTTCTAGCAAGTAAATATTTGACAAGCAGTCTGGAATAAGCACAGGACTTTTAATGCATCAGCCAAATCCAAGTGTGCCCATCCCCCTCGCCCAGCCATTTTCCTGTAAAGCACATCCGGGGGGTTGGGCATTTCCACTCGAACCTTAGCCACGGCGGGGCATTTGAAATTAATAATTTGGATTCTTGCACTTCACTTGTGGAATTAATATTAGAATGTTAGGGTTTGTAATGCAAGTGAGAATATATACATGTATATATTTTGTAATCCAAGTGAGAATATTTTGTAATCCAAGTGAGAATATACAAATGTACCGGTATAGTACATGTATATATTTGGTGTATATATTTTGTAATCCAAATGAGAATAGTTTGTAATCCAAGTGAGAATATACAAATGTATATATTCTCACTTGGATTACAAACCCTAACATTCTAATTTTAATTCCACCAAGTGAAGTGCAAGAATCCAAATTATTGAAGTCCACCTTATCACAACCCGCACACCCGATTACCTAAATTACTAAATATACATGAAC